AGCTGCTACACTGTCAGTAGCGGAACTGGCTTTATTAAGTTTAGATAGCTCCTACCGTCTTTTTTCAAGAGACAAAAATTGGAATACTGATCACATTGGCTTCTGTATTCCATTTTTTTTCCAATTTTTACTTCCTTGGGAATAAAATAGATGGATTAGATCCAAAAAAAGTGCATCTTTAAAAAGCAGCATATATTTCTTAGAAAGACTTCAAATAATTTACTGTGTAATATATCATAGTTTTATACTACAGCATCAAACTCTGATGCTTGAGTCATCGTATATTAGGCCTAGGACATAAATATCAGAATATTTTGGGAATCTGACTGAAAAAAAACCTAGCCTTTTGTTCCAGAATCAGGTTTCAATGAACTTCAACTTTATTCAAGGCACCCCCTAGAGAACGTAACTATTTATGTAAATGTAATACTCACCTGACAAAAACAGAAAATGTCTAAATGAAATGAGGTTTTCTAGGAATAGAAAACACAGCAAAGGAAAATTAAAAGGAGAATATGCAGACTGGACAGGGCCAAATATATATATTTTTTGCACATTCCTTACATCAGTGCAAAAGCAGCTGCTGATTATCATGGGAACATAAAACCAAGACCTCACATTAATTCCTTCATCACTTAACAGCCAGTACTGTTCTTTGCTTCAACAATGCATGCTTACTTTTAACTAAAAATAAAAAAATTTGGTCAGCTCTCCCACCCCCCACCCCGCTCCCTAATTTTTCTTTAGCCTAATGCAGGGGTAGGCAACCTTGGCTCTTTTATGACTCGTGGACTTCAATTCCCAGAATTCCTGAGCCAGCCATGCTGAGGGGAAAGGGAGAGGTTTCCAAGCTGAGCCATGCTAGCTCAGGAATTCTGGGAGTTGAAGTCCACAAGTCATCAAAGAGCCAAGGTTGCCTACCCCTGGCCTAATGTAATTTTTAATGTTTCAATTTGTGTCCAGTTCTGAAAATAATTCTAAGAAATTAACCCAAGAATCACATATGGTTCTGAAAAACCATACCCAACAGAGAGTCCAATGAAGCTAATATATACTTCGGTCACTTTTAAATGAACAGGCAAACATAAAGAAAAGCAAAAAGGTTGAAACAACAGAGCAGTGGATTTAAAAAAAAAACACAGAGAAGGGGAGGCGGAGGTAGAGAAAGAGGAGTAGGAGGAGTAAAAGGCTCTGTGAATTAGTGAAAGAGCCAGGTCAATACAATAACTGTAGAACATGTTTTATCTATTACATGTAAACCAATAAAATGAGGTCAAAAGTACCATTTGCACGTGAGTTGGTATAATAGTAAATCTCTATATCAAGTGGTTAGAATCTAGTGTGAGATGCTGCCAGATGAGGCTTTTATTTTGCAATTATTTAGCCCTGCTCCTGAAATTTTATTTGAAGTGAAGGATCTCTATGTACAATCATGCTTTCCATTTCTTCTTTATTCCCCCTTCCCCAAGCATATCTTTCGTTATTCAGAAGAGAAAGATAAAACAGCCAAATATCGATGGATAGTAAAAAGGAGTTGTCTATCTGGAACATCCTGGATTGTGTATCCATAACAAATACAACTTAGAAGTCACAAAACAAAAAGTATTGAACAATACTGCCAACAGGATTAAAAACAAACTATTCTCAATTGCTGTGAAAATATGAAATGCGCACGTTTGCTTGAAATCTTAGCTTCCATCACTGACTGCATGACGGAAGTTAAGTTTTCTGAGAAGCAGCGAAGGGTTCTTCAATGTCAACTGATGACAAGGCCTACCCGTCATATCTACATAATTCCTCACCCCAAACATTTTATTTGACTGCTTCTAGTATAAAGTTATATTTTCAAAGTAAGCTCCCATCTAAAACATTACAGTTTGAACTAGCATCCATATGACATAGATAAATATATGGAGAGTTAGTAATAAGTGTATTCGTTTTATACTGTACAAATGCTTAATATTTAAATAACATATGTTTAAAAATATAGTATCTCCATCCTACATAGGGATGCCCCACCCTTTTCAGTCAATAAATGTGGAATATGCAGTGTATCTACTTCCTCGTTGGCAGGAAGAGTACAATGAATGTAGAGTCTACTGCAGAAACAGGACCGCCTAATTGTCTGCATGCCCCACATTTGAAAAAGATGCTGATTCCTCTGCTAGAAAAATAATGCTGCTTTGCTGAACGAGGGACTGTCGCTCAATGTAAACAGTATCTTTTAAGGAATGTGTTGTCCATGGTTAGCAGAAAAGCTGTCTGCATCGACAATGTGCCTGGTGGTTCAGCACAGCCTAATATACAACAAATAGTACCAATCTGTAAATGATAAATGCCACCTTAAAATACAGGCCAGAGAATGTTATTGTGAAAGTAAAAGGTAATATTTAAAAACAGAAGGACAGAATCCATCAGAAAGAAATATCCTGCATAAATCTTGTTGGTGTGCATTGAAATTACATAAAATGCTCCTTTCAGATCACTTCCATTTACAGGTACTCCTCGACTTATGACAATTAAGCCCAGAATGATGATCATTAAGTTGTTGCAAGGCACCCTCTCTTCTCCCACCTCTTCTCACTGCAGGCTTTATGCCAGGGGTCTTCAAACTTGGCCCTTTTATGACCTGTGGACTTGAACTCCCAGAATTCCTCAGCCAGCGTGCCTGGCTGAAGAATTCTGGGAGTTCAAGTCCACAAATCATAAAAGGGCCAAGTTTGAAGACCCCTGCTTTATGCGGAGCACGGGGTGGAGGAGGACCTGGTTTGCTGAACGAATCGTTTTAAGTGGAGGATTACCTGTTCAGATAGTTCAATAGGAAAAATGTTTTCCTGAGCGTGAGTAGTTATGTTTGGAAGTAATTTTGCATAATCATTGTACGAGGCAAATCAGCTAGAGCTGAGTGAATTTTTTACACAGGTAGTCCTCAATTTACAGCCACAACTGGGGCCAGAATTTCCATTGGCTAAGCAAGATGGTTGTTAAGTGAGTTGTGCCTGATTTTATGACCTTTTTTGCCATGGTTGTTAAGTGAATCATTTCAGATGTTAAGTGAATTATATGATTATTAAGCGAATCGGGCTTTCCCAATAGACTTTGCTTGTCAAAAGTGCCCTGGGAGGGTTGGAAACGGCAAGCAGGTGACCTCAGGATACTGTAGCTGCCGTTAATACATGCTGGTTATCAAGTGCCCAAATTTTGTTCATGAGATCCTGGAGATGTTGGCCCATGGTCATGTGAGGACCAGTTGTAAGTCAAGGATTACCTGTGGTTTTAATATTTTTGCAACTATTCCTTCACTCACATTTCATGTTTTCTATATTGATCAGTATTCTATTTTTTATAAGAGATGATATTTTTCAACCTTTAAGACTCATAATTGCTCTAAATGCGGTTCTCTATGAATGGACACTGTTTTTCATTACTCAGAGCATCTGAATCAGCAATTTTGAGTTGATGCCAGTACAGGCCAGAATAGTAAATCCTAATATATCACTGCAATCAGCATCTGTGTTAAGGCAGCTTTAAGTGGAATTATACAGTAGAACAGAGGTCTTCAAACTTGGCCCTTTTATGACTTGTGGACTTCAACTCCCAGAATTCCTCAGCCAGGCATGCTGGCTGAGGAATTCTGGGAGTTGGAGTCCACAAGTTATCAAAGGGTCAAGTTTGAAGACCCCTGCAGTAGAACCATTGGAGAAATAATAAACACTAATAATGCAAGATCTGGAGTGGAGGCCTTGATTTAAGCTTGCTGACAGACATGAAACCACTGAATCTAAGCAATTCTGCCTTACACCCTCCTTCCCTAGCCTGGTATCCTTCAGATGCATTGTGATACAACTTTCACTATTTCCAGTCACCATATCCAGCTTGGGAAAAGCTGCCTTAGTTCTCAGCATTGATAATATACACTATACCATTTGGCTTAATTTGAAAGAAAAAAAAAGAATAAACAAAAATAAATACAACGAATGCCCAATTCACACTATTAAGAGGAATTCCATATTTGGCAAGACTAATAATTCATTATATAATCAACTCCTGAGGTCCCCCCCCCCCTAGTTTGCTGAATTTAAAAAAGAAAAGAAAAGAAAAAGCAATGAATAAAATATGTGAAATATATCGAAGTCACAACTTCATTTATGAAATGAGGTTTGATTCAAAACTCAGTGCAAGTGGCAAAATTGACCATTGCTATACAGTATCTGTGAGAAAGATAAGAATTAAATCCACTTTGCTCAAACGGGCACAAAAAGTTAGGTGTGCCAAAAACATTGTCCCACATTAAAATTTCAAAGAAGTTTCCAACATTGAAACTTTATAAATAAAGTACAAACTAGATGATATTGCTGAACCGTGAACTGAGTGCTGGGGGGGGGGGTTATTAAAACATATACAAGCTACTTCTAGCATAGACCAAGAAAGGAATGTTGGAATTTTTTTATACAATAGAAATTTAAAATTCCAGTTGTTTTCATGAGAAAATTCTGAGCCATGCAGGGGGGTGTTTTTTTGCATATGGATATATATTTTATATATACTATATGTATATATATATATGTACAGTTTAGCTATAAAACTTTGATGTGTAAAGAAGCTGTCTTCAATGAAAAATTGAACATTCAGAGGAAATTCCTGAGTTAGGGTTTTGTGACATGGGCCACTGAGAAAAAGCTGCGTTTGGGTCCTCAGAGGTGTTATGTCCATCCCTGTTGAATATTGAAATTAAAACACAGTAACAATAACAACAACAATAAAAAAGAATCAGACAGTGTTGCCACTGCTTTGTTCCCCTGCCTGAGCATGGGATAGCACCATAGTGAAGAAGTTAAACTCCTGCTTTGTAGAGAGGATGGAATACTTAAAAACAGTATTGCTGCTAAGACCACTGTAGTGTGCACCAAGTATGTTCTTCAATATAAACAACAAATGATTGTGGCCACTGACTGACTGAAGAGACCTTGCTGGGTGTGATGTAAAAGGTATACCAAACACTAGGTGTACTCCTTCCTAGGCTGCTCATCTGTTGTACACTTATCAGTCATCTCCTGACAGAAATCCATGGTCACCGCTTGGTTATTCTGCTCTGGAGGGAGCTCCTGCTCAGAATAATTAACTTGGTCAGCTTCATCCAGTCCTCTTGCAGCACATTTGTCAGAGATGTTGTTGGGTAGCCAGTGGGCTCCCAGCTGCTGCACTGGACTTTGTTCTGAACAGCACTGCAAGCCTTCTCCAATGCACTGGGATGTCACTACATTTTGATCCACTCCACCTGATGAAGGGTTGATACTAGCTGCTGTTGGAAGATCCATAGGCCTGAGCACAGGGCAGTATCGGTGAAGGTCTTGGATCTGTTCGGAGCTCTGCATATCTCGGCATACTTCTTGAGAAAGGCAGGAGAAATTATCTAATAACTCTCCCATGCATGCTTTCAGCTGGTTCCTTTCTGACAGAAGTTTCTCTTTCTCACAAACCTGTCAAATACAGAACAGCATTCGTTTTTTAACAGAGGTTTGGCACGTCAGGCGTCAGAATTTCAAAACCAGGTCTTAACTGATTGGCACATTATCCAGAATAAGATGCTAGAAGTCTGAAGGGTACCACTAGATAGTGGAAAAGCGAAGACAGAAAATAGATCAGAGATCTTCAAATTAACAGGAGAACAGTGGATTGGAAGAACTAATCCTGAACAAAATAAATAGCCATTCTTCTCTTGAGGCTACATTCCGCAACCAGAAACACACATATAATATGAACAGATGATGGACTAGAAAAAAAGGATCAAGGAAAGAGAAGGAGCCAAGTCAACCGATGTGATATATGTTGTGATCACAGACATGACAGAATGGTCTTTAGAAAAGCTATGAATTATTAGTGGAGAGAGCCTGAGATGGGGAACATTCTATCCATACAATTTTAAGGAGTTGACCTGCTACTCAATCACACTCAAGTATGATCAGAAGGTACTTGATACATTTTGTTCAAGCTTAAGGAAATCTGGTGTGTATTAAATAGAAGACTGAGCATGTTTATAAGCCTTAGCATTTAGTATGAATTATAAAGATAAGGTAAAACAGATTAAATGGATTTTTATTAAATTTGGTTAACGATCAGTGTAAGGTGAAATATTTAATAAATAATGGTATTTAATATTTTTTTTAGCTTACCAATTTGCGGATTTCACATTCTAAATTCTGAATACAGTCCAGTTTTCTCTTGCGACAGCGCTGGGCAGCAATTCGGTTTTTACTGCGCCGCCGAACATCATGGATAAATTCCAATTGCTCTGAGGTTAATTTGTGCATCTTTATCATCATCTGGAAATCATTCCTTGGAAGATCTGTGATTTGATCTACAGGAAATGGAAGTTTCACCTAGGGTAAAATGAAGGGAAAAAAAACAGACTGTTTATTTAACAAAGAATTTAGCAGGTTCCTTGGAATAATACTGTTTTATTCAAATAACGTAGTTGAATATAGTTCAAATATTAGCTCCTGCCTTGTAGGCAACTTTAAGAAATAGCCATCCTAACGGTGTAAATGACTATTATACAATAAAATCAGCAACACTATCAAGTACAAACAGCTTGGTGCAGATAAATGAGGTTTTTTCATATTCTCCTCAAAATACAGGCTCCAATTCAAAGAACGGATAATTAAAACTATAAAGAATAATACTTTATACTAAAGAACAATCCTAAAGTAAAAACTTTATTTTCTTAACTTAGGTTATATATATATTCTGTGTTAATTGTTGAATTTAGTTATTCTTCTTTCTACTTCAGTGAAACCATATATCATCCAATTTGACAGCCAGTAAATAAATCATCAGAATAAGATGTAAAGGATTCCATAGCAAATTCAGATGCTGATACAAATCCTCAAGATTTATTTTGTTTAAGCATTCATGCTCTTCTATGTTGTGATAAAATGTATTTATCCAATTATTAACAATATTTTTCCACCACTATAATCAGATGGCCCTGGGTGGTAAGGAAACTCAAGGCAGTTTCTCTAATAAAAGAATGATTCATAAAAAATTAAAAAACAAGTATAATAAAATATTAAAACATTATTTTATTGCTATCATTGCTTTTCATAAAAAAGAAAACACTTTCTGTAGTTAGTAATGCATGTTTTCATAAAGGGACTGTGCTGCTATTATTCTGAAACAGCCTTATTGAAGCTGGGTATCCTGATGCTTTAAAAGTTCTGATTTAGAGGAAAATTAAAAGCATTCAGAAGCAAGAATCTAAGAAGATAGTAGAATAACACAATAGATATTTTACATCCTCTTAGAGATTTCTCTAGAAAAAAATGTTGGGAATATAGGCAGATAGTTCATTATAAATGTCAGCTGAATCTGCACTATTGATGAACAAGTAAATGAAATAATAGAAAATTCCAAAAATGAATATGTAAGTGGCATTATGTCAATATATATTTGGAATATTGTTTAAGCATTGGGTTGACCCATATCACAAAAATATGCACAGGGAGGGAGAAATGTCTAACTAGTATGATCAACAAAAGATTACACTCATTGGCTAGCTTACATACCAACCTGAGACATGGAAAGGTCTTAAAATAAAGAGGTGAATCACCATACAATGTCTGATCAACGTGTGAACTGACTGATAGCTGAGGGTATAATTAAGTTTTATTACCATGTCACATAGTGATGGGCTCTAATTTATATACATAAGTATTTTTTAAACAAAATACAACTGCACAAATTCATGGCGGATAGTTTTTTTTTTAATGGCTATCAATTACAACCGTTGGTTTTTGAACAGCTAACAGTAGAAAGTTATCTTAAAGCTTTATTTTGAGATTTACAGAGGAATTTACTTTGTAAAATAGACATTAGATTGGTATGACTTCAGTTTCAACCACCAGGGCTGATATTCTCGCCTCTGATCCTATCACAAAGAACCAATTAATTTTCAATATCTCAGTATATCATAGCTACATGTTCTCTATATTGATATGCCCAGTAGATGGCACCATATGTTTTAAGATTCACAATGACAGAAAGACTATATTAAGATATGGCTCACATATGCCTTCTCTCATTCAGACTTCCGAAGGGAAAATTCCTTTGATATATGAGAATAGATTTTGATAGCTTGGACACAAGTCTGCCCCTTACACAGCCGTGAAAATTATTGGAATATAAGTAACTCTCACAACTAATAGAAATCTTTTTGCCTGGTTTTGTTTGGTAAATATTGCACAAGGCCATTTAGTTTGGCATTTATTCATTCACGTCTCCACAAACAAGAATAGTTAAAACTAAAATGCTTGTTTGCCCATGATGTGTGTGTGTGCGTGCGTGCGTGCGTGTGTGTGTGTGTGTGTGTTTGCCCATATCATGGGCAAACAAGTATATTAGTTTAACTATTCTTCTTTGGGGAGAAGTGAATGAATGCCAAACTAGATGGCCTTGTGCAAAATTTATTTATATAAATAAATAGATAAAAATTTCCATACTTCCCCAACTCACAACCCCATGAATATATTACTTCTTTTCACATTGTCTGTCTGTGAACCTTCACCTTCTTGTCCCACCTGTGGAACTACATAAACACAAACACACAGCATACAGGTCACATTACTATGACATGAGTCACCAGAAAAGGCTCACCTCCTCACAATTAAATAATGTTCTGTTTAAATATACAAAAGACTGACCTTAGATATGATGTGAACCATTATGCTTACAGAGACTGCTTTCTGTGATAGGAAGAGTGTCTATTTTCTTTCTTCATACATTTTAGACTAAAACATTTAGACTCTGCCTAATTACGTGCATGTTCTATGGGAAGTTAGTACAGTAACCATATGCCACTGCACCCTGGTTTCCTTCACAAGATCCCTGATATTTAGAAAAGACGGTAGATGAGACACTAATTATTTTAAAATCTCAGAGGGAGGCGATTTCTACTGTAATCCCTTGAATTCTACAGATGCAAGACTACTTTTACTGATCACTGGTTTTACTTTTTTCATGGCTTCTGACCTCTGGAACACTGTGCCCCTAGAGCTATGTTCCCACCTTGTTGGCCTTCTGAAAAGGCCTCAAAACCTGGCTTGGCCAATTGGCCTGGGGCCCCAATGTGGGCTTTAACCAGTGGTGGGATTCAGCCAGTTCGCACCACTTCGGCAGAACAGGTAGCTAATTTTTTTGTTGCCCAAGCCCAGAATGGACTTCCGGAAGTGGCATCCACACAGACAACCGGTTGTTCACATATTTGAATCCCACCACTGGCTTTAACGCTGAATTGGTTAGTGGGTTAAGAAGACGACCCCACATCCATCTGGCTTGTATACTGGTTCTTAATTTATCTAATTTTTGTTCATTCTTAATGTTTGCACAATTTAAGGTTCTTGTACTTCTATTTTTGTGATATTGTAAGCCACCCAGAGTCTCTTGACAGTAAGATGGTCAGCATTTACATTTAATAAATAAATAATACATACACGGAACGTATTTCTAAGCACTGGTGATTACACACCTCAAAGACTATCATCTATGTACAGGAAGGACCCATTAGCAGCCTTGCTTTTCAATAGTACAAAAAACAAAACAAAAAAAACCCCAACCCTTTCACCCTGCGCCACAAGTCAATGCTTGTCAGTGTTAACAGGCCTAGCTAAGTGCAAATTTCCAAGTTTATACAGTTTGTTATGCCTTTATTACATACCTAGGACAGCTATGCTTTGGGTTAATTTCTGAACAGATCAGCCACATAGTTCAGTCTGGTTGGTCAGTCGTAATATCATTTATTTTGGCCGAATACTGGGGCAGCTCAGTTACTATGACCTGTAAGCCATGGCATACTGTTTACACACAGCTAGTTGGGATTTATTCAACAAATCAAGATTGTCCAAACCATGGCTTTGTGTAATGTGTAGACAAGTTCACTAACTAGTGCCAAGTGGGCTATGTGGTTTACCACAATATTCTGGCATTTTTAAAAGAAATTAGATCCTTAGGCTGCACTGAAATTAAATAGTTTTGGGGTAGCCCAAACAATATGGATGTATGTTTTTATTTCTATACTGCAGTATAGTTTTAAAAAGCAGTATACAACAATGTCGTGTTATTATATGCCTCTTGTATTCTTGAGGTGGGATATAGCATCTCTTCTGACACAGAGTAGCTTTCAATGTGCCTGTAATGCTGGTGCTGGCAGGGGCACAGAATTGGGCCTTATTGATTCCTTGCAAATATTGCCTTATGTCTGTAATAAAGATCAACTTTTGTAATTTGCCCCCTCAATTGTCTTTCCATATCAAATCCAGAAATTAGCTGATTGCAGAAGATTCAGGCCATATTAGTAATTAGTTTCTCTTTTGATATCTGAACATTATATTCAGATTTGCATACAAGGTAAGAATTAAGTAAGAGCAGAATATGCTTTTATGTCCAGTCCGATGAGCTCTGATTACACATACACACACACACACACAAAGAGAGAGAGAGAGAGAGAGAGAGAGAGAGAGAGAGAGAGAGAGAACTACAATATATGGATTCTGCTTAAGAAAACCGTTTCAATTATCAAGGATAAAGTTAAATAATGCAAATTGAATAAGAGAGCCCATCTGATGTAGTGGTTAAGGCCGCAGGCTAGAAACTGGGAGATGGTAAGTTCTAATCCTGCTTTAGGCTCAAAGCCCACTGGGTCACCTTGGTCAGTCACTTTCTGTCAGTCCTATGAAGGAGGCAATGGTAAACCACTTCTGGACATCTTTGCCAAGAAAACTGCAGGGCCTAGTCCAGGCCGTTGACGAGATCCAACAATGACTTAGAGGCACCAAGTAAATAAATAGAAGTCAGGCCAAATCACAAAATTGCAATAAAAAAGGAAGATTTATTCTAAAGTTTGCATCTTTATGAGATTCTCTTAAAAAGGTTTTGTAGTCAGCTCAATTATGCGTCCACTGTTATCTTTTGATTAGCAGTAGATCAATTCCTCATGTTTGTACATGTTATTTACATAATCTGACCTACTTCTGTATTTTAAAAAAAGATGTCAAACATTGAAAGACCTTGAAGTCAGGTGCATGTAATCTAAATAAAGAGCAAGTCTGAAAAATAAAAATAAACTTTGGTCAATTTGAGCAAGAGTTTTGTGATGTGTCCAGCTGGAAAATGGTGAGGGCTAAAAAAAAAAGTAACAGGTCTTCAAGGCATAAGCACCACCAGCAAATCAGAGAAAAGAGTTTGTAAATGTTAATGTTTTATATTTAAGCATCTCCCTTTATATTCTTTTTAAACAAGACACAAAAATATTTTTCAGATACATTATCTTTTCAAATGCTTAACTGCACGTAACCTCCTTGGGAGAATGTTCTTAATAAATACTTCA